CGACCGCCGGCGCGCAGCAGCTGAGCGAGCTGCTAGCCGACGGGACTGCTGGAAGGTCGTCCTGCTGTGACTGTTTGAGCCACCAGCTCCCGTGCACCACACATGGTCGGAATGCAGCGGAGGAAAGGTCCCGATTCCAGGAACCGTGCCCCGCTATCCCGCCATCGGCCGTAGCTTTCCCCGACCGGGATATCCGTGAGCTGCAGAAATCACCGGCGCGCTTGGCCCGTACACCGCCCGGTAGGAGCGAGCCCTGCTCCCAACCGGATCCTGATGCGAGTCACGATAGCACACGGCCACGATTTGTTCACGCCCAACTCCGCCCGAGCGGTCCGCCGCGCTCTGCGCCCCTCGGGCAGCCGTCCAGCGAGGGCCACAACGCGCCCACGACCGACGCGGCCGCCCGCTGCCGGTGGGCGGCGCAGGTGCGTGACGTCATACCGGCGTCGTCGACGTGACTCACCCGTCGGCGTCGATGCGGCTGCGGCTCCGTTCCAGCTTCGTCACCGACTTGGTCCGCTTCAGCGGGTTGTTTTTGAGGGAGCGCTTCGAGAAGAAGTTCTGCAGAGGGAGGCGCAGCACGTCAGGGGCAGGCACAGTGGGTCCGGTCAGGGAGAGGCACAGTGAGGCAGGTCACGGGGAGGAACGGCGGGTCAGGTCATACGGGTCAGCGGGGTAGTTCAACGTAAGGTAGACTAGGCGCTGCAAAGCGGCGTTTAAGGCCCGGCCACACACCGACGTCACTCGGTGGAAACCGGGCAGCGTTGTACGAGGGCACACCCGCCGGACAATATCACCAGACGGTCGCCCCGGGCCATGCGAGACAGCACCAGGCGCCGGGACGCGAGACCCTGGAAGCGAGCGGCTTTGTGCAGCGGTACCGGACAGTCGCGTCACAACACAGACCAGCCGGCGCGGCAGACGTCAGCAGACGACAGCGCCCGCGCGGCTCATCAGCAGCAGCAGCACCCGGCGCTGAGATCGGCGTCTGGCCAAACCCAGCACGGCCGCCACTTGGGGGGCAAAAACCAGACGCGCGCGTCCCACCACACGCCGCTGGCACGGGGAGCAGCGCCGGCAGCTCCGGCTCCATCTGCGTCGTTCGCGCCGCATCAGCGCATCGACTTGCCTCCCAGATTACCGCACATTCCCTTCCGCTCCTCGGGGCACGTAATCCCATTGGGGGCCCGTGGACTAATACCGCCTCTCCGTTACCGGTGGGCGACGGCCCCTGCCCTCCCCGGCCTGCGCCGGCGGCGCGCCATTACGGACGGGGAGCATTCCCGCCGCGGCCGCGGCGCCGCCCGCGGCACGGCGCGCCGCCCGGGGTGACAGGCCTGACGCGGTCCCCCAGCCGGATATATGGCGCGCATCGATTACGCACGTCCGGAAGATTTACGGAAATGCTGGCGTGCGTAACCCGCCCGTCAATCCGCCCGGCGCCTCCCGCGGCGCAGTTCGGCTTGTTTATTTCGGTATTCGGCGTCGGTCTCCACCCTTCTTTTCACCGCGGCGACGCGACTCAGCGTCGCCAGACGGCGGGGGAGCCAGCCACGAGGCAAACTTGGCGCAGCCGGCGGCGTGCAGCCGTAAAAGTCGTACGTGCCGCGCTGCCGGCCGCCCCTGGCACATTGCCTCCAGACGGCGCCAAATGTGACGCGGGAGGTGCCGCGTCAGCCGCGCTCTTCCGCTCCGGATGACGCAGTCGGTTACAGCGCTGTCCCTGTTATCTCATTCATTAACTTTCTTTCTCGCGCATGTGCGGGAGCCAGCGGAGCCGTCAGCGACCAGCACGCCAAAGTGGAGCGCAAAACGGAGCTCGGTAGGTGCCCCAGCGCCAGATCCCGTTTTATGTCGCAAATAAGTGGCATGGGAATCAACGAGTAGGCATGTGCGCTTCAGCGCATTGAGAGCTACCTGGGTCATCCATGAACCGACTCGAAAACGTATTTACACTGCCTGCAACGCTGGGCTGGGCTGGGCACGCTGGAAAACAGCACCATGAAGTGCGCCCGCTGTTGGGGGGCCATTTCGCGTCTGCCTGCGGGCCGTGAAGCGACGGTGCCAGGAGACTGTCAGAGGCGGCGCGCCGGTGCGCCACTAATCGGCGCGTCGTCTCCGTGCGCGTCAGCAGGCGGGGAGGCATTCCTCACGGTCCGGCTCCAGAAGCCGGCAATTACTACCGCACGCGCGTGCCGGCGCCTCGTTCAATGACACAGATTGCACGGCCGTCCGTGGCAATGCTGCCGATCCGCAGGCCGCTGGAGAGCGAGCGCCTCTCAGGGCGAAGCTACTCGCATGTGCAGGACGGGAGCTCGTCCAGCGCACGGCGCCCGCCATCCACCCCTGGCATCCACCCCTGTACAGCCGGCACAGGTTGCCAGGCACACCCTTCAATATGCAGCAGTCGGGCACTCCGGGCCCGGGACTAATGAGCTGATTCATGCAGACGTTGGCGTCACGACAAGAGTCGCTCAATCGATCCGCATTCGATAGCCGGCCGGGTGTCCCTCAGCAGGAGCCGCCCGTGCCGGCCCTCCCTCCCTCCCATCACAGCTGACGGCCGGAGCTGCTGTCGCGCCTCTGACAGCGAGGGTGGCCCGATCACCAGCGTCCGTCGACAGCTGCGGTGACAGCGGCGGCGGGGGGGGGGGGCGTACAGGGGTCACCGGCCGCCTGACCCGGCCCGCCCGACTCGTGCCCGGCGCCCGCTACGAGCGCTTCACCGAGGCGTTGGCGCCGCGCGCGCCCGGCTAGAAAGTGTGCGGACGGTGGGCGGCGACGCAGGACGGCGGCGGCGGACGGCGCACGCCGGCATATGGCAGCGGTGCATAGCCTGGCAGCCGGCGGCGCGTTTCCCTGGCGCCAGATGGCGCCACGCCGACTGACGTCACAAAGAGCCGCGGACTGCGCCGGCGTCGACAGAGTCGACTCCGCAGCCGCGCGCCCGCACAACGGCTGCCGCTTCGACAGCAGGCGGGCTACGCAACAGGCAGCGGTACCCATGCCGCCCAGCGGTGTCCGTGGTTCCACAGGTGCTTTCTCCTACCTCTCCCAGTGAACGTCGACCAGCAGTGGATCCCCAGGTGCCGCGCACACCATGCCAGCGTCCCTCTGAAGGGAGCGGGTCCCCTCCCTGGCAAGGCCGGTCCCTCTACAGGCTGTGTCGGTCGTGTTCCTTGCCAGCAAGTGGCATCGTGCAGGGGGTGGCGCGGTGTCCGGACCGGCGGTGTAGCCAATTCGTCGATGCTGGCGGGCCGAGCCCGCGAAACGGACAGCTGACTAATACGCTGTCGGAAACGCCGTAAACTCGGATGCGTCGCAGGCTTTGGTCTTGTAAGCAGCCGACCATACAACGCCTGGGGACGCTGGATCCGGGTACTGTAGGATCTAGGGGAGGGGGGGGGGCTAACAGGTCAGGGTCTTATAGAAGTTTCAGATGGCTAGCTGAAGCTTAGTAACTGATTGGGGGCTAACAGGTCAGGGTCATTATAGAAGTTTCAGATGGCTAGCTGAAGCTTAGTAATGATTGAATGGCTAGCTGCAAGTCACAAAAGTCGGGATCCCGCTTGAGGAAGGGAGTACGAGTCAGTTGGGATCGGATAGGGTAGAACATCCCGGATCGGTGCAGAATGTTGTAAACGTGCTGTCTTTCTTCCGTAAGTTGTGTTAATTGCTTTTAAAAGAATAAACACGGTTTTCGAATACATGATCCCCGCTGAAATGCATATTTCTTTGTCAACGCTAAACTGACAGGAAGCTATAAACAGGCGCAACGAAAAACGGCATCTTTTCAATCTCCCTGTAAAAGTTGGAACACAAACAAGACGATTTGAAGGACTTCTGTCCGCCTGTTTGTCGTAAAACGAGCCAGCCGCGCCAGAACGCAAGAGAGACGTCACAGGGGACCTGATGGCATGATACCGCGCCGCCAGCTGGGCAGACACTTTGACATTGATCGGTTTATTCGATCACCAAACAGGTACGTGATAGGAAAGGATACTGCGCTAAAGGCGATTGAAAACATTCAGACTGATGATGAAGCGAGTCTTTTTTTCACACCATGGCACGAAGCAGACCCTTATCTGGCCGGGCAGGCCATAATGTTGTGAGCCCTCGCTAGTCTGACTGGAAATAAATCCCGACGTTCACGTGACAGTCACAATGCGGCTAAGAGTGATCTCAGCTTCGCTGCGCTGTCGGAGAAAGTGTTCACGATGACATGTGCATGGTGTCTAGATCACGTCAGCATGAACGCCCACGACATTTTCGTACATGTGTGCACCGCCAGGATTACAGCATAAGCGTGCCAAACGCCGCAGCGCGGTTTGATGTGCTGCTGACACGATAGCCACCGTTCGATCCATCAGCCCCAGCACTCCAGGTTATCAGACGCCAGCTGCGATAGGCAACAAATGTGTTGTGAGGCAGCTGCCATATACGGCAGAGAGGATAGGCTTCTGGGCTTCACGGTCATCAAAGCCTGTTCGTCATGCCAGCACTGGTGGGGACAACCGTGCCTTCTGCCAGCCCAGTTGTAGCTATCGGCGACTGCTGGCACGTCTCGCTCAGTGGGCAGAAGCAACAGCTAAAAAGTACTTCATTCATGAATTCGTTTGAGTGAAATTGTTGAAACGCACGAGCGTTTGCGCAACAAGTCAAAGTACGCAGTGTCATTCATTATAAATGCACCGTCATCCA